GCATACATAGCTCCAGCACTCCCTAGTCCTCTTAAAACAACTGTACATTTTAATGCATCTGTTTACCTGCATTAATTATTTACAAAGGATAATGTTTTGGAGCCAGTAAAATGACAAGATGATTTAAGTCAAGAAGCACCAGAAGTAAGATATTCCAAGTCAGAGTGTAGGCTCCTTACTCATCTCCACTAGTAACCACATTTCTCACCTCAGTCTGGAATGCCAGGTAAATTATTCTATGTTACCTACACAGAATTTTCTTACCAGAGTTTTATCCCACATTCCTACCAGTGTTTTATTCCCATTCTAAATGCTAATTTAGAAAAACATATCTTTATATGCATCCATGAGGTAGAAGTCAGTCACCATCTACTGTTCTACAGCCAGAACTGAGGCACCAGAAAACAAATGTCAAAGCTGTGTTAACTCTGAGTATCCAGTTTGGGAGAACTTATGTTTGATTTATTTTTTTTTTCAGAATATTAAGCAGCATAGCACTTTCTGTATTAAACACAGCCCTCCTTGTCCTCACCTCAAATTAGGACATCAGCAAACAGAGTTCAACTGATTACTTAACCTGGACACTCAGACACAGGCAGCTGATATGTCAGCTATAAAAAGCCTGACTTCCCCTAATGTCACAAACTGTGACCTCAGGCAAGGATAAATTCAATTTTCCCAGGAGCATTCACCTCTTCAAGTCCAGCCTTTTTATTCCTCTGGTTCCTGACGACTAATAAATGACAGCGAGTGTTAAAACAATCTTTGTACGCATTCGTAAGCTTCAGTCACTGGACAAAAAGGTCATTCTTGCCTAAACATCTGCAGCTGGAATGTACTTTGTAGCTGGAGAGGTAATAACATACGCCTTGCCAGGACATTCCTTAACTTCTGGCAACCAAATGAATGGGCTGTGACTTGTATGGGACAACCTTCACTGTACACTTCCATCACTTTGGATCCCCCTCCCATTGATCGGTAGGATTTTAAAAAAAAAAGAATAATAAAAGACCTGCTGCCTGATCTATTTAACTGCTGTGCTCATTGGATCATTGTGGAAAAACTCAGAGCTGTTCAATGATCATTTTTATTAGAAACTTGTATCCCTAGCTACAAAATAGTTGTGGAATCAAGCTTAGTAAAACTGACAGTGAAAAAGTGAAAGAAAATACAAGAGAATTAAATTAAGAGGAGGAAAACAAACAAAAGAAACAGAAAACCCCCATGTAGTTCTGCAATGTGCAAACTCGCTGAAGACTGGCTTCCTGCAACTTGTGGTTGATGGTGAGAACCCACGTCCCACAGATGTGGGATATTTCTAACATCTCTCATTTAAGGCTGAGCATGTGTAGTCTCTCCTTCTGTTAGGGAACTTTCAGGGCTGTACTGTATATACTGCTCCTCTAATTTCTCAAAACTTATAGGAACTTCATGTCGCTCCGGATTTCTACAGCCCCGTTAAATTTGTCTGGAATTGGCCAATGAGTTGGCCAACTGCTTGTCCTTACAAGGCACAAACTGACAGACAGTTTGATTGCACAAGCCTCATTTGCTTAGGAAATTAAGCTGAAGATGATAAATAGGTGTGTATAAATGCCTGCCCATGATTTCCCTGTTGCAGCCTCCGAGCATGCTTCCCGTGGCACAACGTGGCTCAGAAAGCACTTACCCCCATCTTGCCTGATTATATCAGTTACTTATTCAGTGATTAGTCAAAGTAACATTCCTCTCCTAGCAACTAATTTAATGCTTTTTAATATATTACAGTCTCTTTTAGGTCCAAACCTTTCTATTTTGGGGCTTCCAATTCAAATTTGTCTAATAGCTTCACATAATGGTCTCTTGCTCCCAATAAATTCCTCATTTTAACTCTAATTGGTCCCGAAGAATCACAATTTACATGAGCTGAAGAGGAGATGTATCACTAGCTACTACTGAATATAAGTAATATTTGATTAAGCAAAAGGAGATACTCATTTGCTTTTTTCTCAGCATTTGTTAATGATATTGCCAATTTCTACAAGCCAATCAAGTATATTTACAACATATTCAATTAAATGTATTAAATAGGTATTAAATAATGACATCAATTCAGTGTCCTCTTAAATTTATGATATCTATTCATTACAATGATAACCCAAAGTGACTACCATATTCAGATGAAGTTCCTGGTTATCCAATCGTTCTCCAGCACAAAGTCATCAAAACTAAAGGCACAGACTGGTTTTATGGAAGGTAATGTAAGAAGTAAGTGGAAACTCAAGAAAATAAATAATTTGCATAGCTGCAATACCAAAGCATAAATCATTTTCAGTAATTTCAAAGTCTGAGTGTAGAAATAAAGAATTGTCTCCTGAGGAGCCTGGGAATGCAAGAATGCAGAGGACACTCCTGAAGGAGTCTGGGAGAGGAAGGGGAACTGGAATTTGGGAAATACCAAGAAACTTACCAGCACTACTTTGTGAAGGAAATGCATGCTGTAAACTGGCACGTTTTATGGAAGGTAATGTAAGAATTAAGTGGAAACTCAAGAAAATAAATAATTTGCATAGCTGCAATACCAAAGCATAAATCATTTTCAGTAATTTCAAAGTCTGAGTGTAGAAATAAAGAATTGTCTCCTGAGGAGCCTGGGAATGCAAGAACGCAGAGGACACTCCTGAAGGAATCTGGGAGAAGAAGGGAAACTGGAGTTTGGGAAATACCAAGAAACCCACCAGCACTACTTTGTGAAGGAAATGCACGCTGGAAACTGGCACAAAGATAAGTCAATTTCAAACATTACGGTTTTGAACAAAAATTTTTAAATGTAACATCGAGAACTTCAGGAAGCTTCTTAAAGGCAAGGGAAGAGAATACAATTTTTTTTTTAAGTATTATTTCAAAGCAATTACAATTTCTTCCTGGGTGTCTAACCCAGAACACTTTGCTCCTCTAACAGGGAGTAGGGCATTCCATTAGATAAAAAGACAAGAAATATAGATTTGAAATACATCTAGATCGAAGTGATACCAGCCACAAAGTCATCAAAACTAAAGGCACAGACTGGTTTTATGGAAGGTAATGTAAGAAGTAAGTGGAAACTCAAGAAAATAAATAATTTGCATAGCTGCAATACCAAAGCATAAATCATTTTCAGTAATTTCAAAGTCTGAGTGTAGAAATAAAGAATTGTCTCCTGAGGAGCCTGGGAATGCAAGAATGCAGAGGACACTCCTGAAGGAGTCTGGGAGAGGAAGGGGAACTGGAATTTGGGAAATACCAAGAAACTTACCAGCACTACTTTGTGAAGGAAATGCATGCTGTAAACTGGCACGAAGATAAGTCAATTTCAAACATTACGGTTTTGAACAAAAGTTTTTAAATGTAACATCAAGAACTTCAGGAAGCTTCTTAAAGGCAAGGGAAGAGAATACAAATATTTTTTTAAGTATTATTTCAAAGCAATTACAATTTCTTCCTGGGTCTCTAACCCAGAACACTTCAGTCCTCCAACAGGGAGTAGGGCATTCTGTTAAATAAAAAGTCAAGAAATATAGATGTGAAATACATCTAGATCGAAGTGATACCAGCTTGCAGTTCTGACTGCTATTAATTACTGTTGTATGTAGAATATTTGAATAACAAATTTTTAAGCCTCTTTGATGTAGTTTTTCTTTTAAGGCCAGAATAATGCCTGTGAAAAATACAGATCAACGAGTTAGATCCGTTTAGAAAATGTAACTTTGGAGTTTGTCTTTGATATATTTTTTTTGCTTGTTATTACGTCTGGTTTAGCTTGAGCTGGTTGTTCTTGGGTTATTACGTCTGGTTTAGCTTGAGCTGGTTGCTTGAGGTTTTTGTTTGTTTGTTTGTTTTCCTGCAATAAAATACACTAGAGAGAACTCTGCCAATTCTGAAACCATGCTGGTTAAGTATAAATGCTGTTAAGATCTGTCTCACCCCTTTGCCCGCGACAGTGGTGTTTGGGAGCACCACGTTAGCAGACACGTTAACTCTCTGCCTGAATTAAGATTGACCGGAGGCCTCTTGGAGACAGAAAAGGCCAAGAGCAATGGAGGCCTTGAGGTGCAGGGCACTGGGCACCCCAGACCGTGGTACGGGCAACGGCCTATATGGAAAAAATAGATCTGCCCGAATTAAGATTGACCGGAGGCCTCTTGGAGACAGAAAAGGCCAAGAGCAATGGAGGCCTTGAGGCGCAGGGCACTGGGCACCCCCGACCATGGTACGGGCAACGACCTATATGGAAAAAATAGATTAATCTGATGAAGACTGTAAATAATTGAGGCACGGGGTTACAAAACGGGGTTATAAAACCAGGCTCTTTGAGACTTTGCCTTCTCAGTACGACACCCCTCACCCCGCAGGCCCCTGTGGGCCCTGAGGCGGCGGTGGGGGCCGGGTACCCTCCAACCCCTGTCACCCCCCGCCCCAGCGCCGGTCCCACAGGGTGCCACAGCCGCCATCTCCCACAGGGTGTCACACACTCAGCCCTCCCTCGGCCCCCTCACAGGGGGACCGGGCCGGTGAACAGCTCCCCCCCCTCCGGATGCCGCCCCGTCCCCCACACCGGGGGTGAGGAGAGGGGCGGGCGGCGGGAAGCGGGATCGCCCGGCGGGCCGGACGGACGCGGCGGGCACCCAATGCGCTCAGGCGCCGCCGCCCCGAAGGGAGGAGAGAGACCCGCGGTTGGGCCCAATGAGGCCGCGCCCGGAGCGGGACTTCCTTCGGGGATCCCGCGGCGGGGAGTCCGCGGCCGAGCGGAGCTGACACGTAAGTGCGAGGCCGGGGAAGTTGCCTTTGTTCCTCTCAGGTTGGCGGCGGCGGCGGCGGAGCCACCTCCCGGGCGGGTCCCCGCGGCGGGGCCGGGCCGAAGGCGCCGCCTGAGGAGAGCAGGGACCGCCCCCGCCCCGCAGGCCGCGCTCGCCAGCGCCGCTGCCCGCCCCTGCCGCGGGGACCGGGACCGTCAGCCCGGGGCCGCCCCCGGAGAGGGGCCGGGCAGCCCCGGGAAGACCCACGGCCGCAGCATGAAGCTGGGGATCCCGCCCCACGCCGCCCAGAGTCCCGCCGGCCCCGCTCCGGCGCGCAGGGCCCGCACCCAGGGAGAAGCCGCCCGGGGCGTCGCGGCGGTGCCCAGGGGCTGAGGCGCTCGGCCGGCCCCTCCGTCCCTCCCTCGGTCCCTCCCTCCTTCCTCCTCCTCCCGGCGCGGGCCCGGGGCCTCCGATGTCGCCGCCTCGTCGCCCGCCGCCTCCTCCAGCTGCCCGCCGCTAAGCCGTGAGGGGCGGGGAGGGCCCTCGGGATCCCGCCGGGGACATGGGCAACGGGATGTGCTCCCGAAAGCAGAAGCGGATTTTCCAGACCCTCCTGCTCCTGACCGTGGTGTTCAGCTTCCTCTACGGTGCGATGCTCTACTACGAGCTGCAGGGCCAGCTGAGGAAGGCTGAGGCCACGGCGCTCAAGTACCAGCTGCATCAAGAGTCCCTCTCCGCTCAGTTACAAGGTACTGACCTCGGCAGGGGCCTCTGCTGCCCTTTCCTAATACAGAAATACCCTCCTCCTCCTCCCAGCTGCCCGCCGCTAAGCCGTGAGGGGCGGGGAGGGCCCTCGGGATCCCGCCGGGGACATGGGCAACGGGATGTGCTCCCGAAAGCAGAAGCGGATTTTCCAGACCCTCCTGCTCCTGACCGTGGTGTTCAGCTTCCTCTACGGTGCGATGCTCTACTACGAGCTGCAGGGCCAGCTGAGGAAGGCTGAGGCCACGGCGCTCAAGTACCAGCTGCATCAAGAGTCCCTCTCCGCTCAGTTACAAGGTACTGACCTCGGCAGGGGCCTCTGCTTCACTTTCCTAATACAGAAATACCCTCCTTCTCCTCCTCCTCTGGGGCAGGCTGGGCTCCAGCTGTCCAACCTCTCACAAAGTTTCGCTCCTTACACGCTTCTTCCCCTTCTCTCCCTCCAGCCTGTGGGGTTTTGGTATCTGTCTGTCTGGATGCTGTCTCTGCTAAAGTCAGTGTGAGTTTTTATCGTGGGCTCCCAGAGAGCTCTCATTCCCCCTCGCTCCCACGCGTTGCATAGAGTGACTCTAATTCCCAAAGGACCCCACATCACTTTGTGAATCCTGGTGTAAATGGGAAAGGTGGGCGTGCTGCCTGCCACTCATCTAACACTACACACCATGTCCATTTCTGGGACTTTTACATGCTTTTATGTTGTTTTAGCAGTATGAATTTTATGCCGCTGAGAGAAAGTTCATCTGCAAAAATGCAAGGCCACTGTTCCTGGGCAGTCTAAACCTTAAATAGCTCCAGGAGGGAGGAGAGGAGTATTCTAATAAAGCATTTTTTTGAAGGGAAATTTAAAAGCAAAGTTCAAATAAGTTATTTGGGTAAGGCTGTGCTATTAATTTTGGAATAACTTTGAATTTCTTGGCTTAAAGCTGCCACCTAAATATAGATCCTTGCATATTCTGGTTTAAGGATGCACCAAATGTGGGCATCCTGTACTTGAAAAGATGCCGATGTCTGACATCTGCATGTCTAGGAATTGGATGCAAAGCAGCAGATACATACATGAAGCTCCAGTGCTCGAGGAAGTGCAGGACCTCAGTGCCTCTCTAGTTTGAAGTACAAGCTTATCAGGTTGGCATACAAAGTCCAGAGCCAACTTTCAAAACTCTTTAGAGTTTTATTTCTCAAAACCGTATAAAACAAGACTAAGAGTGGTCTGCTCTAGCAGCTGTTAGTTGTCACCTCAGGGGTGATCTTCACTGTGGAAGCATACATAAAAGCACGCCTGGAAGCATACAATTTTTATGCAGTGAGCGCAGAATTGGGCTTATGCTGTTAAATTCTTATAGTGATTTGTTTCTTGAATATATTCAACTCTGATCTGAGACCATCATTACTTGGTATTTCAATTTCAGGCTGTTTCCAGGTAGTGCCATGGAAAAATTTGACAGAAACCTTCATTTTAGTCACGAAAAAGGTGTAAATGTTTGGCTGGGAGATGGGTATGTGGCGGATGGCTAAAGGGCTACTTTTGCTAGTCTGTATATTTGCCAACAGTATTTGAAGAGGACAGAGGGACATCTTGTTCTCCAGCTAAAATTCAACAAGTTAGCTTTTTCTGTTGCTTTGGCTATACCAGCCGAGCATGCAACAAACTTTATTCTAACACAGAGGAGAGATTCTTTTGATCAGGTATATTGGATCTGGACCGTGAGTTTAAACTTTCCACTTCTGAAACGTTACTTTCAGTCAGTCACCATCATCTGTCCTGGCAAGTTATTTGAAACAGAATGCAACTAGTAGTTGATAAATGCAGTAATAATGCTGCATTTTATAGAAGTAGTCTCTTATTTCTCTCAGTGTATCAATGAGAAATGTAAGATATGGACCAGAATCTGAAAACAGTAGTGTAATTGATCAACAATGCAATAAATTCACATGGTTCTGGGACCCATGGCAACATATCAACCCTATTAAGCAGGATATCTATCTATGCCTTGTATGGTAGCAGTAAACCTTGTTTAAAAAAAAAATATTAGCAATTAAGTCACAGAATATAAGGAAAGATATAATGTAACAATAAAATTGGTTCTTTGAAATGTTCCTGTATTATGACAATAGCTAATATACCTAAAAGAGGGTGAGGCTGAGAGATGTACTAAATGCAGCAGGAAGTATTAGATGCCTCATCTCCCACTAAAATAAATGGAAGTTGTGTGCCTAAAGGACTTTGGAGGATTTGGCCTAGTGAGCTAGAAATAAACTTTTCTTGCCTGTCTTTCCCTGTACATTTAATGGCTCTTTTCTGCCCTGTGTAATCACTTGGATTTCTGCAGTAGCAAAGTAGTAGAAGAACACTGAGAATTCAAAACCTGTGCCTACACCCAATTTGCCCGGAGATACACAAGTACCATGCTGTTACTGGCAATGTACAACACCAAAACCATTTCTGAACCTTTCCTATTTAACTCTTTGATATGGAACGACAGGAAGGAATTTTCTTTAAATGGAGACTTTGAAACAACATAAAATGCTGACAGAAAATCCTGTGTTTGCAGGTGCAGTGTCTGACTGCACTTTGAACTTTTAAATGGCCTGGATTTTAAATCAACACTGTTTCTGTTGCCAAACAAACAAACAAAAAAAATCCCTAAGAATATCTAGGCTGCATCTCTTTGCGGTCCTTAACAACAGGAGATATTATTCTTTGAGTTTATTCTTTCATGAGAATAACAAAATGTATGGCTACTAAAGCAGTGCAATTTTGTCTTTTCCATGCAGTGTAGTCAGTTTGTGAAGGGTGTGAAGGGTGATGGGAGAACTCTGAAGCCTTTCAAACAGGAACCAATTAAAGGACAAGGTCACTGACACAGCACTGCCAGGAGGAAAAGAGGGTGCTGTGTCACCATTGCCTGATTTCTTAGTACTTTATAGCTCTCCTGGGCAATTAAATAGGACTTTAAGCTCATTACAAGCTGAGGAGAAGACGGAACTGAGGACTGAACCTTGGACTTCTATTTCCTGAACAACCATTTCATAGTTCTAAACTAAAAAAAAATAAAAATAAGGCAACTTCTTAAAGTTGTCCTTTTGAGGATCCTGAGGCCGTGTTGTGCTAGGCTGGCTGTGCTCCTGGAAGGCTGACCAGACTGAAACACTTGGATGACAGTAAAATATCGCCTGTTTTCTGAATTTTGGTTGGGTTTTGCAGTGACTGCTGGGGCCTATGAAGACAGTTGCTTTCCCGATTGTACATGGAGGAGCACTGTTAGGGCTTCTAGGTGAAACTTGAGTCAGTTTTAAATGCTTAAGGATGATAAGCAACTCTTAAGTGCATGTATAAGGTCACAGTTTTGAACCTGAATGCCTTTGATCTGCCCAAAATCTTAAGCAGGACCCTCTGATGCAGCTCAAAATGCAGCCTGCCTTCACTTCCTACCGTCCCCTCAACTGTTTTTCTGTCTCTACACATTTTTTTAGCTTTTTCATCTATGTAGCTAATATGAACCTTCTTTTTGGCATTTGCCAGTTCTTCATGCCCGAATGAGCAGTGCTTTCTGGTTTTGTTTAAAAAAACAGAGGTCTTAGATTTTTATCTTTTTCATTGCCTTGTTTCGCTGAAATGCAGCGTGTGAAGCAGGCTAAATCTTCTGTACAGGTGGGGAAAGAGCACTCCCAAGGCAGAAGGCACAGATCACTGAATAATGGTGCAGGAAGAGGTCTCAAAATCATTTAACCCATGCACCTGAGCTGAAGAGGGCTGCACATGACTGTTATTGTAGGGAATTCTGCTTTCTCTGGTGTTCACAGCTTCAGGTACTCAACTGGAAAGTATTTGTGTCTCTTGAAATAAGACCAGGGTATGATTGGAAGGATGGCAGACTTGGGGGACATGGTTAAGAATAACTGTTTTTGAGAGGCTGGGATCGTAAGATCACCACCTTTAGAAGATTTTGTATTTGAAAGATAAACTTCTTACAAAAATAGAATGTCAAACTTTGGCATTTTTATCTCTTTGACAAAGCTCTGTTGGGCAATGGAGAAAGTAGGGCTGCTTTTGTAACCCACAAGGAAATACCAGAGGCAAAGTTTAGAGATGACACAAAATTTCTTGGCTGCTAAGAAAACCTAAAGTCATTGTTATCTATGAGGTCTTTCACAGAGAAGCTGATCTTCCCAGTAAGCTGATTATTTTAAAATCTCATTCTCTGGGCATTATATGTTCAAAACATGAAGATAATCTTATTTAGTATTTCTTAAAATGATAAAAACCAATCTTGACACTCTTTGCTTCCTACAAAGATGTGCGAAACTATTGGCCATATAGGAACAGGCTTCAGTTGATAGAACAGAAATGCATTAAGAGCTGTAGATGAACCCGATCATATCTTTGACTGCTTCAAGATTGAGTATCTACAAATGTCTTTTTAGCCCTCACAGCTTCTGTCTTCTCATCCTCTGGGTATTAAGTAACCCCTTGTGTTCTATTTTAATCTCTTTAATCTGTTTTAATCCTTAATCCTAATGACAGCCTATATTTCGTGCCTTTTACTACCTTAATTTTCCTGCTCTTTCTCTGGGAGTCTTAGCGTATCTGATGGCTTCAGGCAATCTCTGTGCAGTCTAAGACCATACTGTAATCTTGGGAGCCAACTCAGCAGGGACTTGAAACTTTCAAGTTCAGAGTGTGCCCTACTGTAACCAGGGCATGGATTTCCTCAGAGCTGTCTGATCCAACACTGGAAAGCACCAGCTGAAAAGCAAAGGTAGAATTCCTCTGTGCCTGTTGTGCCCTTTGTCCTAAACCAAGGTCCCTCCTTGGAGCTGACCTGCTAGAAGTTGATCAGATCTATAGCAACTCTACATATAGAGACTTGTGTAACGCATCGCAACACTAGATCCCTAGTTCCCTGTAACTTTGGTGGTTAATATTTATTACGTCTGCCTGCATGCTAACTACTTAGATGCCAAAGCTGTCCTTAGTGAAGTACAT